ATGACGTGTTCAGCAGTCTGATGGCCTGGTGAACCAGCTGAACATGAGAGGTTTTTGGACCAATTTTGTGTTCTCCATTCTTTAAGCACCGGCACCGTTTCAAAAGTACCGATTTGGCACCGGTATCGGATAAAACCTAAACGATACCCATCCCTAGCTGCGAGACGTGACGAGTGGATCTTGAATCTGTGAGCGCTTCATTAATGCTGAAGGGTTAGGAGCTACCGTCTGTTTCAGGAAATGACAGCAGAAACATCTGCAGCCGTTTGCAGCAGCGGCAGATTCACAAACCCGGCGTGAGGTGGAAAACTTCACAGATGCTCAGTTCACACATGTGACGTGCTGTTGGTGCTGGATTCAAACAGGGCTGTATGGAACCTTTCACAATAAAACTCGTCCTTTTCATCCTTCAAGCAGCATCTCGCAGGACGACGACTTCGTCTTCGAGGACTTCGCCCGCCTCCGGCTCAAAGGTGTTGTGGACGACAAGGACGAGGACTGCTAGGAGCTCGCCAACCCCTTCATATGCTCGCTTCAAAACCACAACACACACACACACTCACACACTGTTCACATTCCCCAGGGATGGATGAGGGTATATTTGGACGGAGGCCTCGGAGGGGCTTGGTGGTGTTCTTCCTCTCTTGCTTCAGCCATTCGTCACGCCACCCCACCATTTTTCCGCCGTCTTCTCCATCTGTTGTCTCTTGTTTCTCTTTTTTGCTAGAAATTCTAAATGTTAAGCAGCTGCAGGACAGATGTTGGCACTGTGGATGGGAACCTCTGCTGCTTGTCGTGGGCGGGGCTTTGAGATAGAAAGCAGGAAGCTAAAGAATCAGCAGCGTTCGTCCGCTTTGTTTTTGAATGTTTCCCGACGATCACCGTCCTGTACAAGCAGAATATATATTTGGAAAAAAAATTGTTCGGTGGTGATCGCCGCTTTCCTTCGAGTAAATCCTGTAGATAGTTTTTCTCGCGGTGGCTGCAGCGAGAGGAAATACATGTGCACACAAACACACACACTCAGAGAAGTCTTACAAGCGACTGAAGTTCGATTTCACCAGCATCCGCTCTCCTCCTGCTCCAACTGTCGTCCATGTTCAGAAACGTTCGCCATGTTCTGTCGGCTTTTTTTAATTATTAAAAAAAAACATTCCAGTGCGGACACTTCATTCAGATCCCAGAGATCATTTTGCAATCCTGCTTTTTAAGAAATTACATGAAAAGACGACAACCAAAACTTTATCCACCCTCTCCGTAAGTGGAGCAAATTTAACTCTTTATTTTGGTTTGATCCTGTTAAAGCTCAACAGTAAGCTGGTACTTGTCTGAATACGTTGTTGGTTAAGAGAATGAAGACGTGTAATTGCAACAATGTGACAGCGAACAAATTGAAGCTAAAAACAAAGCATATAAATTTGAGATGGTACAGGAGGCCTGATCACTGAGAGTCACGATTCTTAATTTATATCCTGGGTTGTTTTAGTTTTCTCTGATGGAACTAAAGAACACTCTTGAGTTTAGTCACACTGGAATCTTTTTTTTTTTTCCCCTTGAACTTTGGACTGGATTTGGAGGTCGAGTCACTGGATAGGTTTTTTACCTTTCTTTGATCTGTTTCTGTTTATTTCACTTCCAGATTTACAGTTAAAGTCAACAAAACTGATGCTAAAGTCTGTTTCTCTTGTTGCTTGTTAAAATAGAAACGGTCTGAGACTCGGTGCGGCCGGTTTAACTCGCCATTGTCAGCTCATTGAAGGGAAACTCTGGTGCTCGTTGTTTGGTTTGTTGTCTTCACTCACTGGTCCAAACTCACTTTGAACAAGCATTCAGATGAAGTTAGTATGAAGCTTCACCTCAGAGTTAAGTCATCACAGGAAGCTGTGCTGTGCCTTTAATGTTTCACTGTTGCCAACACGATGATCTTTGAACCTTGGTGACTGACAAGAACTCAGCTTTTTTAAAAAGAAAAATTGTTGGTTTAAAACGTTTGGGCAAACCTGGGATGTGTCAGTTTAGAAACACTGCGTGGTGTTATTTTTCTCTAATTAAGTTCAGGTCTTACATTTTAGTTTCAGGGGATAAACCATTAAATATTTTGCTTAGTAAATATAACTTTAAAATTAATATTAACTTTTTAATAAAATAAAACAACCACATATTCTTATAATTTCTAATCCTTGAGAGCTTCTCTTTATTTTATTGTGTAGATTGCAAAGATACATTTTAAATTAATGTTGTCACCATTTTCTTTTCTGGAATTATTTCCAATCTGGTAACAAATATTTCTGTGGCCTTTACTGTTGTTTAGTTTGTACTGTGATGATACAATATTTGGGGGTTTGTCCGGGATTTGGCAGTTTCACCGTTATTTCTAGACCATCAAACACAGATTACTTAAATCCCACTATTGTTTTGTTTGACACATTGAAAGATGCTGATGACAGTGAACAGACTTACTCACTTTAATGTTGACCTGTTCAAATTTGACTTATTTCCTGTGAATGTTCGTATTAAACATGGTTGAAGTTTCTGATAACCAATTGGTCAATGATCCGTAATCCTGCAGCCAAATGCTCAGTTTTTTTGTTTTTCCTACTCACAGTCTGTATGATGTCACACAGAGCAGATGTCCCTATTATGATCATCTCAGGACACAGAAACCATCTCATGTTCTGACCAGAGGCAGCCAATCAGAAGAAAGTTGTCTTAAAGTGGAAGTGAGAGCTCAGTACAAGATAAGGATTATTTAGAGCTTTGAATCACGCAAAGCTGCTTTGCTAGATTCTCGTAGAGACCAAGGATAAAAATGCAGAGCTGGTAATGAGCAGTATTGATTCACTTTGAAATGTTTTTCACACCTTTATTCTCGGTATGTGACCTTTTTTTTCTCTCTTAGAAACAAAACATAATGATCTAAAAATGAAACCATAAAACTATTTTTTAAAGGTCGATGCCAAAGGAAATGTTTAAACTTGAGAAGCTGAAGTTGTTTAAAATAGTCCAAAATGAACCAAAGCATCAAAACAAACATGCATGAAAAGACCACTAGGCAGTCGTGTTGAAGACAAATGAACTGAAACTAAAGGCTGTGCAGTGCTGTGTAGTACCACGATAGTGCTGTGAGTCTTTGCTGGACCTCGATTTCAAATCTGGTCCAGAGTTTGGATTTAGGTGTTTTGGCGAGTACCCGGTCTGTGTGATGCTTGCCATAATGTCTACAAAACAGGAAGTGATTTCTGCTGGTGGGTCGGACAGGGAGCAGCTTAAAAGTAGCTGCACATTGACTCTCTGCTTCATCTTGTGGTCCAAAGTGCAGCCATGCTGCTCTTCTTCACGTTCTTTTGGAAGCTTTTAAACAGTTTTTAAAGCACATTTACTTACAGGAAGTAACTTTAGGGTGCCATGAGAAACATGACAGCCAAAATGAACCAATCAGCACCAGTGTTTCCGTTCTAAATCCACCTCACCAACATCCCGCCTTACCCTCTCAAGACCATCAAACCATTTAAGTGATCTCTTTTCTTTCCTCCATCCAAACTCGGACACGATGTGAAGGACTTCAGGTTTTAGACGCCAGCTTTCCAAATCTGTTGCTTTTATTCTAGGCTTTATTATCGTTATTATTAATGTTATTTTGTTAATGATTTTTGGCCCCAAATCCCCGTACAGATCAACATTTCAGATGAACACGAGCACTGCACTTTCATTGGACGAAAACCCCGCAGAACTGCAGACGTTTTATTTCAGAAGACGAAGAAGAATGTTAACATTTATTTTTCCCTAAAATTGTTTGTCGGGGTTTCACAACTTGAACTTTGTTTTGTTCAATTTTCAAACTGCCAAATTTCCCTCCTTCCCACCCTCCCTCCTTCCTTAGCTCAGTCAAACGTTACAGCTGCGACCCTAAAACAAGACGAAGATGAAGAAGCCGACTCGGAGCATGATTTGAATTCCTTTGTTTGAAATTTTGTTTCCAAGCAGTGCTGTGAATCGTACGAGCTGTGATTCTGTCCTTATTTTGTCGTGCATATGTGGGGTAACTTTGCTAAGTGTGAAAATATTTTGACAAGTGCCACGCCCCGGCCCTGTGCGATGCTTACCATAATGTCTATAAAACAGGAAGTGATTTCTGCTGGTGGGACGGACACCAGAACAGATAGATCTATGATTATTATGCTTCTGATTATGATTATTATTATTATTATTATTATGGTGACTTCTTATTATTCTACTGTATCATCATTGCGACCATGATTATTCTCATAATCATTTAAGAGTCTATTGTTTCGCCATGTATTTTTTATGTTGAGATTTTTATTTTAGTTTTCTTTTTATTAAAGGTAAAAAGAACTAACAGACACCCAGGCTCTGCTTCGCTTTTTTAATCTCCGACGATGAAGCTGTGAACTATTTGTTGGCAAACAATCACATTTATATCTCTGAATAGACACCCGGTAGTCACATTTCTGATTTCGACGAAATAAAGTGGAGCAAGACAACAAAACAGGCTGCAGTTACATTCTCGGAAGTGTGTTTGGAACAATTTATGACATTCTTGGGTTAAAATGTGAATTTTTTTTTTTTTCTGTAGAGATGACAGGAACTACAAAAAACACTTGGTCAGCATCAGGCTTCACTGTGAAGAAAAAACCATGATGGGTTTATGAAGACCGAACACTGGTTTTATCTCGAGGGCCATTTAAGCGAACATTCAGACCGGGGAAACTAATCCAGCCAACAGTCACCTCAAGGCGCATGCTCAGCAGTGTTGGGCAAGTTACTTTGAAAAAGTAATTATAGTTACTTTTTTGAAGTAGTAACTAGTAACTGTTAGTGAATGATTTACAAGATTCTAAAAGTAATTAATTACTTGAAAACGAACTATTGCGTTACTTAAAAAAAATGTTTGACCCTCTGGGGTCCAGGGTATAATCGGCCATTTTTAACTACGTCTGATGTTTCCTCCACATTTCACCCTTAGAAACTGTTTATTTGCCTTGTTTGGTCTCGTTCTTTTCAGCACAGCCTCACGTGTCTGAATTTACAGTTGTTTTCATTTTGACTGTATTAACACAATTGATCTAAAATCAGACAAAAAACATAAAATCTGGGTAGAAAGTGATATTTTTTACTGTAACAACCACAAACATGTTTAATGATCATATTTCATAACTTTAAATGCAAATATAAATTGTCAGTTTATATTTGTGTCTCCATGTGTAAAATCATACGCACAAGTTTTGCAAACAAAAAAGTTATTTGCAGCCATTTACCTTTGACCCTTTTTTT